TGAACTGATCCTGGGACCCAATGCCATGCCAATCCTTGCCTTGCCTGCTGCTGTTCATAAAGATTTGGCCTGATTTTATCCCATCACCGTTGTACAGTCTGGTTATTTTGCTGCTCTCATGGGTCACATCATCTGCCTGCCTGGGCATAAACCATATCTTGTGGGAATAACTGGGCAAAACCAGAATGTTTTACTTTAAGCCTGTGTGACTGGATCTAAATATATAGACATGTGGAAGCCTGACTTCCAGAAATGAACATTCATAGGAAGCATTGCCATTTTAATTTTTTTTAAAGAACTCAAATATTTTGCTGTGGAGGAGGAACTGAAATTTTGCTTTGACATACTAGATTATATGCTCTATAGTGATGTCCTACTTTTTCCTGGACCAACTTCCCAGACTTTAGTGAAACTACTCTGAACTAATCAGTTTTGGGAATCACAACTAGGCAGTCTTACTTCTCTCTCCCTGTTCCATTTGCATTTCAATTCCTTCCCTGTCTCTCATCCTCACCTTTACGACTTTTCACCTTTCCCATCATGCCTTGACAAGGGTTTCTTTAGGGACCAGGCTGCTTCTTCACAAAGATTTTATGGAATCCCAATTCAAAATATCCTGCCAATTTCAAATCTCTTACTCTCTGCAGCAATGGCAGAAAGTAGCAACCATTTTTCTGTGTACAGTTAATATAAACATATTCAGTTTGCAGCTGAGGCAGGCCTATTAATTCAGAAATATTTTAATAGCCAAGGACACCAAAGCCAGCTTGAGCTCTGTGACCCTTCCAATAGTCCCCTCTAATTACCACTTTGTCTCCTTAAAGTGGTTTCCTTGCTAGTAATAGGCTTCGCTGTCTTTCTCTGACTACAGCGGCAAGATGCCTGGCTGGCTAATTCTGGCTTCGGCAAAGGATGCTCATGACTGTAATCTGAATTAATTCTTTCAGGCAGATGTATATTTTAAGATACAAAAGCACCGAATCTAGGGGTACAGGCAACAGATAAACACAATGTTGTTAAGAAGTCATGGCAAGACTCTTTGGTGAGAATTATTTCATGCTCTCTGGCAATTTTTGTTTCAAAGCTATGACATCCTTTATGTCTTGCCTGCTATTGTTTTTGACCACTTAGTGAAACTCCACATACTGAAATTCTAGAAGGAAAAATAATCTCTTTCCCTCCAGGCCAAATACCTTGGCACAATCAAAGGTCCCCAAAAGAGAAACTGGTTATCTGGAAATCTTTCTGGAGCACAGGTAAGCAAGATGTGGGTAAAATACCTGTAAATTGATACTAAAAAGGAAAGGAGCTTCTGATGGCCCAGGTAAGAATTTCATACTCTTCAAAAACTGCTTCTGCCTTTTCCTGAATTCCCTGAGCTGGTTACGGATAGTTTCGAAATGCCTCATATTTTGGAAACCCACTGCTTCTGAACAAAGTTCAAATTTCATAAATCAAATTAGGTAGACCTAGGTTAAACGGACAATTTATGTTTGTGTAGTTTATTCAGTAGCAGGATTTGACAGCAAAGTTATGAATCTTGGGTGTGCAGTAGGATTAAAAGTATTCTTGTACTAAAAAATTTACTGTTATGTCCCCAAGATGAAGCTATCATGGGTAAGATCACTTGAGATACCCATGAACTGTGTTGCAACATTCTTTTACCAGTGGTGGACCTGGGTACTGTGGCACCCTGTAAGAGGCCAATATTTGGCGCTCCAAAGATGGGTAAGGAGGTGTCTGGCTTTGGAATGGAGGCATAAGACTCTGACAGGGTCCCAGATCCCTCCCACCTCCTCCCCAAAGGTGGGAAGATGCTAACTGGGCTTTGGGGAGGAGGCAAGAGGACTCTAGGACCCTGCCAGAGCCCTCACACCTCCTTCCCAAAGCTTTGCTTACCTGGCTTTGAGACAGCACCCTCTCAGAGAAGCACTCAGTGTGTGTGCACCACTTGCACAGCCCCAAATCCTGCTTTTACATACTAATATACGGTTTATGTACGAGAGGGGGAGAAACCCCGGAATGTGGCTGAGAAATTCACAGTGTTATTAGGGATGGACGTATAATGTATGTCCCTGACCTTCTCTCTTGCTGCAGGAATAAATAATTTATGGCTTTGCTGCGCTGCCAGAGTATCCGGGGAAGGCCAAATTATGACTGTGTCAACTCTTCCTTCCTTCCTGGCTATTAATGGGAAGAGGGGAATGGACAGAGCATTGGGGATATTGATGCAATTCCTTTCCATGCTTCCATGATCTGATTCTATGAGGCACATAGACGCTTCTTCTATCCCGGCCCTGCTGCTTAAGGACACAAAGGGAATGTATGGGTAGTTGTTAACATTTATGCACAAAGAAAGAAAGCTACAATACAAAAGTAAGTGTAGTGAAAACACACTTCATGAACAGAAATAAGTAGGTAATAAAGGGATAAATGAATAAAGATCATTGGCTCTCAAGTAACAAAAGCTTTAGAACAGACTTTTCCTTGTCAAATTTCTGTGGACATTACAAATGAAGTGCCTCTTGCATGGAATAGAGAGGTATTGCTTACCTAGACCTATATGATACAGGTAACATTCCCACTGTTAAGGAATCAACTTCCTTTGAAATAAAACAAAAATGTATTTCTGGGTGGGTGTGGGAGTAGTTTTCAACTCAACTAGCTTTTCACTGCTTCTAGTAAAGTTGCTTGGGCTGTGACTCTGAGATTGTCATTGGCATCTATTGTGACAGAGAACGTATGAACTACCTCTCCCATTTTATTTTATTTTATTTCCACTTGATGAAGCAGGAAATCCCACTAGGCTACTCCTGCAGGAGCACTTATTGATTATTTGAAGACTTATTGATTACACAAGGGCAGGAAATGGCATTGCAGGTCCTGTGACAAGACTAGCTAGATGCCAACAATTGGGCAGGGAGGGGAAGGAAGTGGGAGAAAGTTCAAATATGTCAGAAAAGGTCCCCAGCTGCACAGCTCATTTATAATATGTAAGTTGTGAAACCAGCCCAACATTTCTCATGAGCAGATTTAAACAGAGCCTTACTATCCGACCAACTACCTTGTGGCAATTTTGTTCCCTTTACACGCTATAATTGGCACTCCACGGTAGACCCCCCAAAAACCAAATCACCTTACTAATCATTCCTTGACAATTAGGAGATAAGGACAGTGGTGTTTGTTGGCTTGTGCCATTACAACCATCACCACTTATATAGAGCGCTTGAATTTTAAAGCACTTATCTTCTTACAGTCTTTACAAGAGCCCTGTAAGGTAGCCCAGTGCTACTACCCTCATATTGCAGACACTGAAGCAAGGGCTGAAAGTAAATGTAGCCTCATCACAGAGACAAACTTAAAACTGAGTGATTCTTGAGTCACGCCTGAGCAGCGACTTTCTTACTTCCTTTGAGTGGAAGAGAGGTCACTCTGAGGGCAGATTTAAGGATTGTAGGCCAAGTTCTCCCCCACATCCTCTACAATGGATTGCTTTTCAGCTCTGTTCTTAGGACCAACGCTCATTTGTGATGTGGAGAAAGTTGCTAAATATTTTCCCCAGTCCTATAATACCAGGACTCTCGGGTATCCAATGAAACTGATGGGACATTCACAGCAATCAAAATAAAGTACTTCTTTATCAGATGCTGGGAACATTTGACCCTCCAGATGTTGCTGCAATGTCTGTCATCCCTGACTATTGAGCAATGCTGACTGGAGCTGATTAGAGTTAGTCCAGCAACATCTGGAGGCACATAGTCATCACAACTAGTAGTCACTGATAGAATTATTTTCCATTATTTTGCCAGTCTCCTGAAAGCCACCTAAACTAATGTCCATCCACCCATCTTGTGGCAGGGAATTCCTGGCCTAGCTCAAGAAAAGGGATTCCTTGAGGTACAGCAGCTCGTCTTTGAAGAAGGAAAAAAGACTGAGGTTGATCTACATGTAGCAATATTTGTTTAAATCAGTCAGCCGTCTCTTTCAAGATGCTTGCTATGGGGATACATGCATCCCTGCATCACTTATTTCTGCCATAATGTATTTGCAAGATAAATGTGAACACTGGGCAGTAATTCTGTATAGACAAAAGGGAACCAGGCAGTGTGCCCATTCTAAGTAATCTCCACCCTATCTCCATATGAAAGTTGATAAATCTCCTTCCTGTGAGCCTTACTGCTGCCTTACTGTTTTATGTAGGGGGGCAAGTTCATAATATTTTGATGGCGTATCCACACTTTGGTAGGAGTTCTGTCCAAAATGCTTATGGATAGTTTGTGCATATGAACAAGTTTTGATAAATCCTACCTTTGGATTCTCTCAATATATATATATATATATATATATATATATATATATATATAAACTGAAGGGAGGGGTAAGACTTTTAGGGTCATCAAAGAGCAACAATATACACATGTTTTTAAACAATGACAATAACAACAGCAAAAGAATAAGGGTGAATTGTTTTTGTACAAATGTAATGCATAATAGTGTTATTTTTCTAAGCTATGCCTGATTTGAAAACTAGAATAAAATGCCACAACAAACATTCAACTTTAGTGACCTATTTTTTCATTTCCTTATTTTATATTAGAACCATGTCACAAGATAACATGATTATGCTGCGGTTGCACTGAAATCCCTTCATGTGCTACTTAGTTTCCCCCGCTAATATGATGAGTTATTCAGAATAAATAAAGTGGCACTCCTAGTGATAATATGCATCCTGCATCTCATTAAATATGTCACATTTTCACAATAATGTGAGTTGGGAGGGGCGGGGAAATATTAACGTGTGCAAGATTTATAAAGATCTGGGGGGAAAGTCTTCCAGATCTAAACCAGATCTAACCCACACCCCTTTAAGGAAACATAAATATAGATTTGTATAGCATAATTGTAAGAAATGGGTGAGTGTTTCCATCATTTGTATTGACTCTCCTGGGAGTTCTAGAATCAACCTGATTCTTCCTGACCCTAAGGGGTTTATGAAATACCTGGAGCACAAGCCATCTTGAATGTCTTCATATGATATAGGCTAAATGGTGCCTTGGAACATCTGTTCCTGGAGCTCCTCCACCGGAGATTTCTTTCTATAATAGAAAAGCTTTGTGAAACAGTCTTTGGGAACCATCTACCACCTGATGTGATCCCCTCTCAGAAGGAGGAGAAACAGGTCACTTAAGTTTGGCCTCACAAATTAAACGGGACATTAATACTAATTAAGCAATAACCACCACAGAGGACGGCAATCCTAGAAGAGTCCCCTCCCCCAAACAATGACTCATTCTGCCATGTTACATAGGATTTATGGGATAGGTGATTTCAAGGGGGGTGGGGCTCATAATTTCTTTTGGGGTAAGTGGTGAGATTCAAAGGAAATTTGAAAGATTAGCCATTCTTTTAATGACTAGAGTAGAGCAGTTATGGCCTTTCAAGGGTGTAACAGAACTTTTTGAAGACAAGGTATATATTCAATAAAGGAGACTCAATATACTTAATGATACACTGAAGAAGGTCTTTAAACTGTTGAAAAGGAATTTTAGGGGTACATCTTATTGCTGAGGTGGAAGTCTTTGGTTCTCTTTAATTGGTATTTTGAGATTTGTAAGAGTGTTGCTTTAGTATGCTTTGTATATTTAATCAAAGACCAGGAGTGGAATTTCATAAGAGCCTAACTGCTTTTGAAATATTTATCTTATTTATATACCTCAGGATCTATGCTTCTAAAATCCTACAAAACCTTATGAAAATTCAGGTGCACTAATGTAAATCCACTGACATTAGATTAATTTCTGTCAGAGAATGAACCTAGAAGGTCACAGAAATCAAGACCCCAAAGGACCAGGGCTTTTTTTCAGCCAGAAATTTCTGGAACTCAGTTCTGACACCTCTCAGATGGGCACCATTGCCATTCTAAGAGAATGAGGGAGCTGTTCATGGTGAGCTCTGGCACATCTTTTTATATAAGAATAGCACTGCAAAAGACTATGCCCAGAATGCTCAAGTACCTTCCAAAACGTCTCAGGCCTCTTTCCAGAACATAACCCTCTGTGTTCCTTGTTCCCAAAATTAGGGAAATTGTCACTCTAGAGCAGCCATTGATGTTTCAGGAAATAAGGCAAGCCTCAGTAAGCACGCAGAAGGGCTTAGCTGCACACAGGGCTTCTTTGACGTATTATTTCTTATAGGAGTCTGTTTATTTGGCTATAACCCCTTTGGTGGAACTTTAAGCAAAGGAAGTCTGTAACATTATCCAGAATGGAATTTGTTAACTCCCTTGATCTTAGGGTCTGAGAAAAAACTTGTGCTAATGAGTTGCAGCTTTCTTAAAGCACAGTCTCAAATATTCACCTTAAGGGAGCTCAAGTTGCCTGTGCTGTCCACAGGAGAAAAAAATAATGATATGTTAGTGCTGGCACAGAGGTAAGACACCTAGTCTCTTAACTATGGTTTGGAGATTGAGAGTTCTCCACACTGTCTCTTCTCTCTCTTGTACTAATTATCTCTACTTTTGTTGGTCTTAACTACCTTCAGTGCTAAGCAAGACCCACTAATCAGATCTGAATGTTGCTTCAGCCCTAACCACAATGAAAACCAGTTGGTGGTGGGAATAAACCAGTGAAAACCAGTGGGTGGTGGGAATAAACCTATACAATTCCACAAAACCCAATCTCACTCTCTTAACCATGCTTGACAAATCTGGAGTGTTATGTCTATATTGACACAGACTTGAATTTAGGGGGGGGGGATACATTCCTCCTGACCTGCTTCGTTAATACACCATCTTAAATTAAACTAGCAAAACCTTCACATTTCTTCAAGAAACAAAAGTTTGTGTTATATTCAGTTATTTGTTTCATGATACCTTTGTGCACTAACAAGCAACAAGTGTGTTGTCTGGTTATATGCGAAGTTTCAAAGAACACAGTGATATAATTATATTTCTATAGTACTATATAAACCCCTTCCCTGCATTTCTACCTTTGTCAAGCATTGTTTTTGCCAGAATCAGGAATCCAAAGGTTATTTCTTATGACTAGAGGCAGTGTACTCCTCTGTCATTATACACTCCAGTTCCTGTTTCTAATAGGAACTAGCTGTGCACAAAACAAATACCCAGAAAGCAGTAGCAGTTATTGGCTACTGCTTCAGGTCACTTGACCATGTAGCTGTGTAGGGAATCAGTAAAAGTAGTGTGTTCCATAATATATCAGTAGCAATACATTTATTTCACAAGGTTGTCTAAATTCTAAGTAAGTTTGTTTATTCTCATTATTTTGGATAGCATAGATGCATTCTTTGCTATCAAACAGTCTAATGCTATGCATGTATACTCAGAAATAAGCTACATTTCTATCCAATAGTGCCTACTCACTAATAATTATGCATAGTTCCAAATTATTATAAGGTTTGTTGTCCTCCAGAAATTCTTCTGTCTGTACAATTGGCCTTCTTAACTTAGTTGTAATTAACGATTACAAACCTTCCTTTTGTTCAAATTCCAAATTAGCAGAACATGAAAAGATGCTTTGTCCCTAAATTGCTCTCTTGCAAAACTTGCATGTTTTCCTTCTCTGAGAATTTGGTAGAATTCAGAAAAGGAACCATATGAGGCACACCTTTCCAGTCTCTTTTAAATGAGCACTTTAAAGCCACTTTCTACTTCTTACCTAAGATAATTCTGAAACAGAAATCAGATAACTTTCATACCTGGCTCCTAAGAGGAATCCGACTGAGGAGTGCTGAAACTTATTATCAAAAAAAGAGAATATTTTTCTTATATTTTTATTGATTGATTAGAAATGTGATTCTACCCAACCAAAAACATGTTCCCCGGAAATGGGAACAAAATACTTTTTAGATGGCCCATTATTATTATTTTTTTATTATTATTATTATTATTATTATTATTATTATTATTATTATTATTACTGTGTGAATATTCATTTTCATGGCATTAGGGTATGATCTGATTACTGTAGGAACTACTGAAGTTAAACAATTGGAAACTAGTGTTTAAAATAACACCAATTATTTTAAGAGTCCACAGAACTTGAACAAATGCCTTTGGTTTAATTGTATTAGCAATATATTAACTGGACGTCCAATGAGTGTCTCCTAACTTGTTGAACGGTGTATACATATAATGCTTTTAACAGGGATACCTATGTAAATCTGCCAGTCTCCATAGTTTTAATAAAATCAGCTAAAGTACACAACATCCAAGTCTCAAAGAACCAAAGTAGGTACCACTTGTTCCTTGCCTAAAAAAAGGTGTAGTTTCAAATTTTCGAAAGGGAAGAGGCCCATATTGCATTGCCAAGAACACCTGCAAACATGTGGCCATATCTATCTGAGAAGCAAACGATTACTATGAAGGAGACAAGTACAGCAAACAAACATGGACACAGATATGTGCAAACATAACCATTTGCTTCCCAAGTTCTTTGGCTGGTCTCATGGCATCAATACAGCCACACTTCTCTGCAAGAATTTTGGGCATGCAGGAGTCTAAGCTACACATTTCGAAAATGGGGCTGCTAGCTGTTTCAAGAGCTATTTGTAGAACGGTCATCTGAAAATGATTGTTAAGAGAATACAGTGAGGACATTTGTCAGCATGTAGCACAGAGACAGAAGCAGAGTGACTAGTATTAGCCTTAAAGAAAGATGTACTGCTAAATCCCATAATACCACACTGGAAGATTAACCCAAAATGTGCATGGTGTTTATCTATGCATTACCACTTTCTTCTTCCTCTTCTTCCTCTTCTTCCTCCTCCTCCTCCTCTTCATCGTCCTCTGCTTCGTCTGCTTCCTCTTCCTCCTCCTCTTCCTCCTCCTCCTCAACCTCCTCCTCATCCCGATCTACTTCTTCATCCTCCTCCTCCTCGTCATCATCAACTTGCTCCTCATTATCATCAGAATATTCCTCTTCCTCCTCCTCTTCTTCCTCTTCCTTATCATCCATTTCCTCAGTTCCATCTGTTTCATAGCATTCATCTACTGAAGAGTTGTCCGTTTTAACTACAAATGATTTTCTTTTAGGAGCCGGTTCTTGGGGTTGCTTCTCTTGCGTCTTTCTCTTTTTTGCCAAAGGACAGCCGTAAACACTGTTCAGGAAAACAAACACATGTTATTGCACCGTCTGCCAGGCCACCTGTGAGCATATGATCAAAGGGGGAGGGGACCTGTTTTGATGCAATTGCTTGTTTAAATGCTAGTTCTCCCAACATAAACCTTTGCTTTAAAGATGGCTACAAAAGAGAGATGTGGAAATATTATGATCTGTCACTAATGAGCTTACAAAAGTGACTATTGAAATTCTTATTCCATTAAGTCATAAAATAATAGTATTGTAAGGAAGCTCAGAAGTAATCAAGTCCAATCCCTTGCTGGTGAAGGAAACCCATTCCTGCCGCATCCCTGAAAGAGACTATCCATCTTCTGCTTTATCAAATGAATGAGACTATGCCGGCCTTAAAATTCTGAACTGTGCACTTTTCAAGTATTAAGTCATATTCTGGTTTATAGAAACACAGAGCTGAAGTCTGATGAAAGCAGAAGAGAGTGGTACCATTACTTCTTCTGATCTAGATGTCATACATCTACTGGTGTAACCCGGAATTACACTATCCTTTAAAACTGCCACAGTGCACAGGTGACTCGTGTTTAGCTCATGGTCTACTAAAACCCTGATATCACTGTCAAATGTACTGCTCTCCAGCCAGGAGCCATCCATTGTGTATTTGGGCACCTGCTGTTTCCTGTCTAAATGCAGAACTTCACATTTATCTCTGCTGGTGTTCGTTTTGTTAGTTTGGGCCCAGTTCTTCGTTCTGCCAAGATAATATTGGATCCTGTTTCTGTCTCTGAAGGTATAAGCTGCTCTACTCAATTTGGTGACATCTGCAAATCTGAAGAGCATCCTCTCCACTCCAAGTCAGTTAATGAAGATGTTAAACAACACTGGGCCCGGGAAGGAACCCTGAGGCAACCCCACTTTGTCATTATTCACCAGGCTGATGTTGCTTTTCACTAGGATCAAGAGCAGAAATGGATGTCACCCCCAGTGTCCTTGCCTCACTTTCCCAATAATTAACTAATACTGCAGTCGCCAACAAGCTTGCTCTGTTGCCCAGGTGATTTCTGATAAAGAAGTCGTATTCCAGCTAGCAAATTCTAAACAGAGGGAACCAAAATGTATACCATAGAGCTGGGGAGGGGGAATCCAATCAAGCTTCTGTATAAAGGCAGTAGTGCAGTATTAACAGCTATTAACATCTCAGCAAACTATGACATCAAATCTATGTCAGGTTCAGCCGGTTTTAAAAATTGTCTCTTAGCCAATAAGCCAGTAGCATATCATCCCTGAACTGTAAATACTAGCCAAATAAATATTTCACACACCATCGGTCTGGATCTTACAGACTAAAGTTGTTACTGTGGGTTCCCCCCCCAAAAACCCCACATCAATACCTTGGGTGGGATTCAACTAACTAGTCCAGCTGACTAGTCCAACTGACAAACTGGAACGTGTCCAGAGGAGGGCAACCAAAATGGTCAAAGGCCTGGAAACGATGCCTTATGAGGAACGGCTAAGGGAGCTGGGCATGTTTAGCCTGGAGAAGAGGAGGTTAAGGGGTGATATGATAGCCATGTTCAAATATATAAAAGGATGTCATATAGAGGAGGGAGAAAGGTTGTTTTCTGCTGCTCCAGAGAAGCGGACACGGAGCAATGGATCCAAACTACAAGAAAGAAGATTCCACCTAAACATTAGGAAGAACTTCCTGACAGTAAGAGCTGTTCGACAGTGGAATTTGCTGCCAAGGAGTGTGGTGGAGTCTCCTTCTTTGGAGGTCTTTAAGCAGAGGCTTGACAACCATATGTCAGGAGTGCTCTGATGGTGTTTCCTGCTCGGCAGGGGGTTGGACTCAATGGCCCTTGTGGTCTATTCCAACTCTATGATTCTATGATTCTAGCTAGCACAAGGGCTTCAATTACTGCAGTGGGGATTTCTCCCCTCACCTCCCATGTGCCTCCTCTCACCTCCCATGTGCCTACAAAAGTTTGTGCTGGGAGGATCTTTCTGTCTGGTAAGCAAAACAAAACAAAACCATAGATTCCCTTCACAGAACTAAAAATTCCCAGAGATTTGTGGGAAGAGGGATAGACTGTTACTTGGCAATTGCAGCTCTGTGAAGAGAATAGGGGGTCACCCCAGAAGCCTCTGCTCCTTTAACAAATTGCATTTCTTTGGGGGAAACCCTGGCCCCAAATACAGCGACTGAAAATTTCCATAGCAAGGTGCTCTGCATTGCCTTCCCACTTAACCTCGGGCAGCCCATCCATATAGGGAGGGTGAGTAGGAATCGGTGACGAATGAGGCTGAATGTGACTAGCTTTTATAGCTAGGGAAGAAGTTCCCCCCTGGTCCGCTCCCAAACCACGCCCCCTAGCTCACCCACGATTGGCTGTGATCGTGGGCAACACCCCAGCAGTCCGCATGGCCAGAGGAGGAAGTGCCGAATACAGAACGCCACCCCTGACCCACCACAGCTGTGCTGGAGCTCAGCCACTGCTCCCCACCAGCTGACTTGATTCAAGCCATGGGTGGTTCATCATCAGTGCTTTGCATTTCCACAGCTACAGGTATGGCCCCAAGGACAGCTTGTAGATTTATTGCCATGTTAGTTTTGATAATAATGGCAGTACTCTTGCAAATGGCTGCACACTGTGCAAATATTGTGTGGGACTTTATGTATGTACTGATCAAGGAAGGATAAGTGTTCTAAAACCCTAGGAAGAGCTGGGTTGCAGAATGGCCCTGCAGGTAAGCAGCTTTCATGCTACAAACATGGGTGTGTTGCTAGTAAGAGTATTCTTTAAAATAATGTGAGAAGAGGCGTTGAATGCTTCACTGTCTGTGGACACACTGGGTTCTTCACTCATGTACTGATAGCAAAACAACCACCCAATGCCACACTTCACATTTTTCCTCTGTTATCTCCGTGCAGTAAATTGCCACATGTGAAGTTGTTCCATTTTTTAAAAAAGCTAGGATTCCGAAGATAAGCAATCATAAAAATAGTTATGGCCTGCCAACTCACTAACAGCTGGAAGACTGAAGAACTGGATCTTAATAAACAAAAAACCCAAACTTTGCTGTTCATTGGGCAAAAATGACACATGCAGTGCTACTGATGAACTTAATGATCAGGACCAAGCAGATAGGTGAAGCAGAAAATCAAATTAATTCTGGTAGTCATTTAAGAATTAAATGGGATGCAGAGTACAAGAAAGGCGGGCGGACAAGTTTATACTGAAAGCAGTGTTGGCCACATGTATACATGGAAGAGCATATTCACAGCGGGAGCTCAAAAGATAAGGAGAGGGTGTTTTCTTCAGAAAAGGATATCCTTAAGAAATATATTTTCAGCATTTACAATGGAATTACAATGGGTGCATCAAACATTTTAATAGTGTGGAAGAAGTTGAAATTTTAAAATGGCACCATCTGGAACTGCGAATGTTTTCATGTTAAAAATCTGCTCAAGAGGGCAGCATTCAGATGAAATTTCTTCATATAGGGTTTGCACCCACCTGCTTTCCCCATGTGTTCAGGAGACTCACCCAGACCCCAGAACCCCACCAAGAGCACCTCTGTCTTGTCTGCACTAAGTTTAAATTAGTTAGTGCTCAGAAAAGCACAACAAACCCCCTTCTTTCTCTTTCCTGCTCATTCTGCTTTCTTAGCACACGGTATTTAATAAACTCTATGGCAACATTATCTATACCCATAGCGATATGCAGAAAAATATTATATTCTTAATGAAATAATACATAATTTCTATATTATATTTTAATAATGTATTTTAAAATGATGCCTTAAGCCCTTCATGAGCACTGAATTAAAACAGCACTGACAGTATCGTTTATTAATAATAATAATAATTAAGGATACCTTGTAAGAAAAAGGGCATTTAAGATATGGAACCCACTTCCCAAACAGGTAGCTCTAAATCTTTTACTGCTATTAATTTTCCACATCATTAATTTACGATTATTTCTAAGTTGTCGTCCACATGTTCCCATTGGTTTTATATGTGAGCCACTCTTCTGTGTGACTCAAGGTTTTATTATGAAATGTGACATTTCCCAAGAAACCGCTTAATGTTGCAACCCATCTCATTTCTTTTTTTACTTTCCCTGGCTTTTGCCTGTTTACCACCTGGCTCTCTGCTTGATCTTCCTCCTCAGTTTCATGCTCCCGCACCCTGTCTTGATGTCCTCCCTTCAATCCACTCACTCTTACTCTCTCGTCTTCCCTCTCTCCTTCATAGTAGGCTCCCATCCTACTATCCAACCAAGAGGCTTCCACCCAACCTCTCTCTCTCTCTCTCTCTCTCTCTCTCTCTCTCCTGCCACCTCTTTCACTCCCATTTTCCTTTATGCATATTGATCCATTGGTTCCTGTTTCCCCTTCTCTTTTCAGTGGCTGGGACTCATACCCACTATCTGCCCTGTCCTGCCTTTATCCTCACGGGGCTGGGTAGCGCTGCATCCTCAGAGCACTCTCCCCACAAAGTCACTTCTGGTCAGACCACCAGCACCTCAATTTACCAGAGAGGATGCCTCTTTGTCCTCTCCTCACACACTATTTGACAGTCAGAGCAAGAGAGGAACATGCATTGAAAGAACAGGGAAATAATGCATGAGTGTTTGGCGTAACTATGGGTGGAAGATCAAGACTTTATGCCTGAACAGGAATATGATGTGCATAAAGATACAGTAATGATATAATGTCCATTTAACATAATTCTAAACTAGCATAATTCTAGCCTTACACGGTCTACAAAAACTGAACTACAAAATTCACTGTCGTTTAATGGCATTGGAAGTACAGGTCTACTACAGTGGTACCTCAGGTTAAGTACTTACCGTAATTCGTTCCAGAGGTCCGTTCTTAACCTGAAACTGTTCTTAACCTGAAGCACCACTTTAGCTAATGGGGCCTCCCGCCAGTGGCGTAGCGTGGGGGGTGCAGGGGGGGCCCGGCCGCACCGGGCGCAACATCTGGGGGGCGCGCTCGCACTCGCAGCTGCTAAAA